AAAAAAAAAAAAAAGAACTTCGGGGAAGGGAGGGAGGGAGGGGATGGTAGGGGGAAAACAATGGAGGGGCTAACAAACTTTACAAGTTTTGACCTTTTCTGCTTGTCCTAGACATATACTAGTTATTGAAAATAAGAGAAACTATGGGATTTATGTTTCTTTGGGCCTGGCTTACTTCACTTACTCTATGGCTCCTTGGCACTGGCCAAAATTTTCTCAATAAAGACCCAGAAACACAGTAAATCAAAGAAAGGTTGGGCAAATGGGTTGCATGAAGCTGCAGAGTTCTTCACAGCAAAGGACATAGCTAGCAAGATCAGTAGAAGACCACAGATTGGGAGAAGATCTTCACTGGCCATCCTACAGACAAGGGTCTCATATCTAAAATATACTTAAAATTCAAAAACTTAAATCCCTCAACAACAAATCCTCAAAGAAACAACTGTCACATTAATACGTGGGACAAAGATTTAATGAGAGAGTTCTCTGAAAGTAAAATAAGAATGGCCATAGACACATGAATAAAAGTTCAACTTCTCTAGCCATAAAAGAAATGCAAGTCAAAACAATATTGAGATTCCACCTGAACCCAGTTAACATGGCTGTAATCAAGAACTCTAATAACAATAGTTGCTAGAGGGGATGTGGCCAGAAGGGAAACTTACTTACTGCATTGTTGGTGGGAGTGTAAACTTGTTCAACCACTTTGGAAGGCAGTATTTAGCTTCCTCAAAAGACTCCACATAGAGCTCCCCTATGACCCAGTAATCCCAATTTTATGCATTTATTCAAATGATCATAAACAAGGCCATACTAAAGCTACCAGCACAACTATGTTTATCACAGCATTATTCAAAACACATAAGATATGGAACCAACCCAGATGCTCCTCAGTAGATGAATGGATCAAGAAAATGTGATATATATGCATATATACATATATATATAAATATATATCACATATCACACACAGGTGTGTGAGCACGTACACACACACACACACACACACACACACATATGAATTCTATACCTCCAACAGAAAGAACGACACAGCCCCTTCTGTTAGGAACTGGAGGCTTGGAGTGTATTTCTAAAGTGATTCATTATTTATAAGTTTAGGTTTCTCATCCGGAAATACAAACTACTTTTCAAACCATACTTCGATGAAAGAATTTGTCAGGATAAAAAAAAACACTATTCATGAAAATTAAAGCAGGACAGCAACTATGGAAAAAAAAAAACTGTTACCAAAAAGCCACTTAAATAGTATGGCCTGATGCAGATACTTGGACTCCTTACCTGGGCAAAATTCATGAGTTTTGTATGGGTAATAGATTGGCATAGATTTTAATTTTGATATGAGTACAGAGCATTTTTAAAAAATATCATATTTCAGTAGCTTTACAAGAGTCATGCAATTAAACAAGGCAGTATATGAATCCAATGTACCTTGATCTGTGTTCAACATTTTCATCCCCCATTAAACAGAACCAGCATTTCAAAATACATATTCACATATATCTCCAATTGATTTACATTATAGTATGATATATATATATATATATATGTATATGATATCTCTATGGCTCAACTATAACAGTTTTATGGAAATAGTTTTTATTTTAGTAACTGGATGAAGCAATCTCCTCCACCTGTCCTTCACAAGAATGAAAGAGATGCATTGTATCTGAAATAATAACTTGCACATATATACCTTTTTAATTTTTCATAGATATTTTTGTGACCATGGTTGGTCACAAACCAAATGTAATAAAACGTATGCTTGTCTAAGGAATCTTAAAATCCTCCACTGATCATTATATTTTTACAATGTTATGTACTCATAACTTTTTCTTAGTCATACTATTTACAGTAAGAAACAAAAACAAGGCAAAGGAAAAATTAAACAAAGATTGATATTAGATCTGTGGAATGGTGAATGTACTGAAAGATTATAGAATGTGAGATGTATAGTATTGCAAATAAACAATGTGTTACCCTTATGAATACACTTTAAAACTATATTCAGGACTGGCACAAAGACAATAACACAGTCTACACTTATGTTGACTTCATTATTAGTGCACTTTTAAAGAAGTTTTCCTATTTCACGATATATTTCTTTCCAGTTTCCTGTAACAAATGTAACTACTGAGATTCTTTATGGAGTATTTATTTTTCACATGATGGCCACTCAACAAAAGTAGTTTAGTGCTATTATTCACAAAGCAAAAACACAGCCAATCCTCTCCATAGAACATTTATGGTTTTCATTCTTCAAATTAACTTTAAAAAATTCAATATTTCATCTCTAATTTTACTACCATAGAAGTTGATTAGTTATCTTTACTTCTTTCTTAGGTTCCTTCTTAATCACTTTACTTTTCTGGGACTTTTTTCTAAAATGTATTTATTTTATTTTATTATTTTTTTCAGGAGAATAAACAAAAGTAATAGAAATGAGACTCAGATCAGCAAACTCTCTACTTATTCCTAACTATGAAGAAGGATTACTGGGTAAGGGAGTAATTTCATTTGTTGCTCTAATGGACCCTGCTAGCTTATCTTGAATTATCTAGATGGATCAAGCTATTCTTTACAAACAGAGATTAGCCAGACTGCAGTGCACTGACAAATTCACAAGGTGCTTACACTTTAGAACACTGCAGTGGAGCTCAGAGAAGAACCATAAAATAATACAAGTCACAAGGGAACCAAGAATCAATAATGCTAAACTGAAACTTGCTATTGCTAACAGCATTAAGTGTCTCATCTGGTAAGACTGTTTTGTAAATATTTTTTAAAAAGATAAAAAAGAAAGAAAATCTCAGAGATGTGCAATTTGAATGTGCTTTTGGTGTTAATGGAGCAGTAATTTTCTAAGGTTTCAACCAATCATCATTAATCAACCCCCAATCAATAAGAAACAGCATAGCCATAGACTCATTGTACTTACCCATGATAGTTAAGGCTGTAGCTTTTGTTAATTCTTCTTTCATTGACTCTATTACTTCTAAATTACCACCATCCAGGTTGCATCTATTTATGGTTCCATTGCCTGAACTGATCCAATAAAGCTTGTTTTCCACATAGTCTATTGATAGACCTGTAATTAAATTATACAATTTAAACATAAGAGCAATCGGTTAAGCTGTTCACCTAGCACCACTAGAAAAATAAGTTGAAAATTCAGCTTTTTCTTTAGAAAATAAAAACTGGCTAATAGAGAAATGGCTAATTAACTGGGCTGAGAAACTGTTATAGATACTTAGTGGTTATCATCATTGATTTTCAAAGCATTTTGTGACATTGAGGGAAATGGTAGCTCATATTACAGATAAGGAAAACAGTGCTCAGACTAGGAAAGGGATTTGGGTTATCATTACGTCTGTTTACATACTGGCCTACCTAGCAATATCAGAGTCTAGATGGCAACAATTATTCAGGGGATCCACATTGTTCTCTGGCACAGGTACTTGGACATAGAGAGCATAAACTTTTCCTAGGGTATTCCTCAGAGAAATGAGTGAGCAAAAAAAAGAAAAATACCCTTTAATTTAATAACTTCTTGGATTAAGTGGCCCATTTTAGCTTGTGTTTAGTTATCTATCAAAGGTATGCAATTTTATACTTAACTTTCAATAAAATACCATAGCATAAAATATAATATGCACATTAAAGTCATAATATAGAGCCCCCAAATTTCAGCTGCTAAATTTTTATGAAGAATTGAACTAGCAAATGCATTGATGAAAATTTCTCCTATTCAAACTAAAATCTCTGATGTTTGTCTATGTCTGTGGCTAGTCTAACTACTGAAGCATGGCTCAAATACAGCCCCACTATCAAAAAATAAAATAAAAATAAAAATATAAAGGAAAGGAGAGACATAGCAGGAGTTCAAGTACACTGAGAATGTCAGGCAAGCCCATATAATTCCCAAGTACAAAAAGCCACAGAGCAGAGAGTGGTGTTTATTCACCAGACTAGTTTCATTCAAGTAGAAATAATCCAAAAATTCCATATATTAGCTCTTTAACGATATGTTTTGCTAACAGAAATTTGGAAAGTTCACTAGAGAAATTAAAAACAAAAACAGTGAAGTAAAAATTATTACAACTATATTCTATATAGTATACCAAATTCCAGGTGAAAATTTTCACTGCTTGATTTGTTTTATAAGAAAAAGTTTGATTATTCTACAGGTCCCTAAGCCAGTATAGTTTGTTAACTTATTGTATAGATAACTTATCTTTTAAAATAATCAGCACATTTAAATGTCTATTTGTTTTCTATTTACATACTTAATTCAAAGTAAAATACCAGCACTACAAATTAATGGCATAAAATATAACTCAGAAATTTGTTTCTGAATTTTAGAAGAAAATTGAATTAATAAATATGTTGATGGAAAATTACTTTTAAAATATGTGGTTCATTTATGCACATGGCTATTTCAAACAGGAGCACTCAACCAAGACAAACTAGCAAAGATCTCCATTTATAGTTTGCTGTGTTTTGTCTCTTCTTGATTCACTTGCTGCCTTAAGCTTTGGCATGGTGCCTTTGGTTTGAGTAAAAGATGATGTTAGAAGTGCGCAGAAAAAACCCTCTGTTCTACTTCTTAGAATATAGTGTCTGAAAGCAGTATATCACACAGTGACCTCTTTATCCACAGTCCGATGGGAGAAATTTCCTGTAGGGCCCTTTGCCAGAAAAAGCTGGATGTGGAAAATATAAAAATTCACCTGATCATATTTCTTTTTGCTTTGGCTGCAAGGCAACGGAGGAATCAGATTTGTGACCATCTCCAATAGTTGTAAAAAAATTGCATTTACACTGTTAGCTTCACTTGTGACTTTGAAAGACTAATCTGTTATTTTCTTTAGATTATTAAAATTCATCATCTTGTCTAGCCTTTTTAGAGAATGCTTTTAAATTTCCTGAATTTCTTTGTGAAAGAATGTGGGTTTGATAATAAATGTTCCTAACTCCCGATTCCAAAACATCTGAACTTACTCTTCTACCAAATAAACTGCAGATTTCCTTTTCTAATGTGTGTTGTATAAAACAGAATTAAACAGAGCAGGAATGATGAGTTTGGGCCAGAGATCATTGGGGCATAGTACCACATATCTTTGCTGTGGACCTTAGTACATACAAGAAAGAGCTGTAGACTCTAATCAGTTAATAATTTTCATTGCTTTGGATGCCCAGAAGAGAAAAAACAAACAAACAAATAAACAAAAACACATAAAGGCAAAATGGATGGATTATTTGATTAAATCTGATGGGAAAATTAGAAGTGCGTTTGAGGAGTTATCCTTAGTTAAGTTCAAGTATTCTTATAGAAGGATTTTTAATGAACTACTTAAATCATAATAAACAGCATTCTGAGCAAGGGGCTGGTGAAATATATTTAAGAAGACATTCTCCAGAAATATCTTTATTTTACACTTGCACTTTATTAGTTGTGTATGGAAATACATACTGGAAATAATTTTGTATCAGATCTTTCAAGGTATGCTTGATCATCTTGTCAAATTTTATGTTAAGTATACTTACATAGGTATTATTAGACACATATTTATAAAGTTTATTCATTTAAATGGTTTTGCATTATAAAAGTATTCACTTTGTTATCATCATACATTTAAATCAAAACAAAACTGAGTAATTGTTTGATACACCTTACTGAAATGATGAAATGAGATTTGCTGTCTTAATAATTTAAAAGAGAATTCACTTATCCAGGCAGGTGCTAGTGGCTTATACTGTAATCCTAATTACTCAAAAGGCTGAAATCTGGATTGTGGTTCAAAGCCAGCCCAGATCAGGAAGTCTGTAAGATTTTTATCTCCAATTAACCACTAAAAACCCAGATGTGGAGCTGTGGCTCAAATGGCAGAGAACTAGCCTTGAGAGAGAAAAAAAAAACTTCTTTGTAATGGAGTATTATTTGTTTAACATAATTGAAAGTAAATTTTAGATTGTTAAAATAGTCCTAAAGCAACAGGTTAGCTGTGAATATATTTAAGAAGCTATTCCGATAATTCTAACTATGTTTGTAATACTAGGTTCACAGTCCTTAAAAAGGATTTCAGAGCCTCCTGCAGAAAGTAGTTATTAAGTACAGGAGTTTTATTCAGCAAAACATATTTATTTATTTTGAAATCAATTTGATCTGGTTCTCATATAAAGAAGCCTAGATCAAGGGATATAATAAGTGATTAATACAAAAAAGAACTCAATACTTGAATTCAAAAACTTTATCAGAAGAAAATAAGTGTGCTTTCACCTATATTGTTCTAAACGCTACCCACTCTGCTACTTCCATTCCTTATGGAATACTTCATTTGAGCATTTTAATTTAAATTGGCAAGTTTATTTTTGAGTAATTTGCTAAAATTGTGTAATTTCTCTCATAATAAAAACAATCCACACATTGATGTAAGAAACAGCTATATAATAGTTTTAAATAATATAATTCCACTACATGTAAGTTTTATGACTAAAAAATGAGTTTGTGTGTTTTAATTACAACTAGAGAGTTCATTTTATGTATTTCATTTATTTTCTTTTTGAAATTACTCAAAATTAAAAATGTTAAATATTGAGAGTATTTAAAAGACAAATTTTTAAAAATTAAAACATTTTAGAGATAGTACTTCTCTAATATATTTATTACATACCAAATACCACTTATAAGTTCTCTTCTATTTCAATAAATTATAATTACCTGCAATGCCATTAAAAATACTAATGCCGGGGTTATACTCCCCAAAATTATAATTTAAATGATTTATAAGAGTCTCAAATCAGAGTTTTCCAAGTTTCTCCAGATGGTTTTATATAATAAAATTTAAAGAGCCACTTCAAGGCTTGCATATTGAAATGGTGTTGAAAATTTAAATTTATGAAAGTTTAACTGTGTCTTTATATGCTTTGAAATAACATCTTGACAGTGAGATCTTTGTGACAGAGGCACACTGAAGATGTAGACAGGGAAGAAGACATATTGTCAACATTAAAATATAGATGATTAAGCCAAGCAAGAGTAGCTTGTGACGGTAATTCATGACCTGAGGTACTCAGGAGGTACAGATTATAGGAAAACCATTCAGATTTTTTCTATTCAATTTACTATATTAATATTTCTTTAGATCTCAGTTACAAGTTTGTTTTTCCTGAATATTTCTTTTTAATTACATTTTAGTATATTCAAGTAGTTGTACAGAAATCACCAATAAATAAATCAGTTTATGAAGACAATGCATCTTGGTTAATGTCACTCTTTAATTTTTCTTTCCCACACATCCCAACTCAACCACTCAACTCAATTTTTTAATGTTATAGGATATGCATTGAATACTATGACTGTATTGAACTGAATATGATTTTAACTGTATTAAATATGACTGAATTGAATATTATGACTCCCTCTTTCCTCTCTTTGTTAGTGTAGCCCCACTTCTTGTTGCCCCACCTTTCAAGAAACAGTCCCTTTTTTATTTAATTTAATTTTATTGTCAAGGTGATGTACAATTTCTTGATGTTAAAGCCAGTTTGGGTAAAAAGCAGAAAACTTTCTCTTTAAAATAACAGAAGCAAATAAGGAGAGTGGGCTGCTTAGTATATGCAATAGTATGAAATGCAAGCAACAACAACAAAACTCCTTTAGCTACTGGGATTGTGAAATTTATAGAGGCCGGTCATTGCAACTATATCCACAACAAAATTAGGAAGTCATATGGAAGAATAGTATGAAGCTAGCTTCTGCCCTACCATTTTCTCAAGAAACGCTTTTTACTTCCTTAAAATGTATCAACTAATGAATATGACAAGGAAATCCAAACATTCTCCCTGTTCTGAACCTAGCTTCTCTCAGTCATGTCTTATCCTTCAGTTGTTGTATGTTTGAATCTCTGGAAGCTCTGATCTGCTACTCTAACTTCTGTTTAGAGAGGTGATGTTAACATTTGTCCCCTATGACAATGCTGAAATAGTATCAATAAATAGTCTTTATTATTTGTAATTCAGTTCTTTTAAAATTCTGTTTTAAGCAATAATCATATTTAAAAAATTAGACTCAAATTGCTGACTATT